CGATATTCTCTCTATTTTCCCTTCTCATGTCCGACGTTCGATCATCTTCGACGTTTCAGATACATAAAAATGTCATCGCCGCATTTAAACAACCTCATTATCGTCGGATGCATGCTGACCTACAGCAGTGTAATTTTCCTTGGGTTAGATTCGCAGCTGTCCAGCGTAACGGCATTTCCCTACATATGCACCGCCAGAGCATGGCTATTGATGGCTGGCTTCTCCTTGGCCTTTGGTTCCATGTTCTCGAAAACATGGCGCGTACACTCGATTTTCACCGACGTTAAATTGAACAAGAAGGTGAGTCGGTCTGATTCTCCCTCTATATTCGTCTGCGGCCTCTGTGGTTCGCGACTGCAGCATCGCGTGATGACGTTTGCGTTCGTGGGCGTTTGAACGTTCACAATCAGAATTTCCGAGATGGTTTCGATTGAAATTCGACTCGCTTTGAGTGGGATTTCATATCTTTGAATTCTTGATGATCTTGGTAATTTTCGGGAGTTTTGGAAGCCTTGGCACTTACTGAAGAGGCTTGGTTATTTCGAGGAATCTTGAACGTACGCCTGGCATAAGATATTTCACGAAAGTTGCGCCAATTCCTTTGAAAGTTGCCACGCGCTATTTATATAAACATTTGTATAAATTTCGCACAATCATTGAAATTATTAAAATCTATCACTCTTGAAGATTCGAGCGTGCGTATTTTCAACAATTAAAATATCTGAGACTTGCACGAAATTCTCTCGGGAGTTGGAAACCAATGAATCTTCCAGAGACTCGAATACCAATTTCACGCAAAGTTTCACGATTCGAACTTTCTCGCCGGTGTACATTCTTATACGGATACTCGAAACGATTCGAAGCGCTTAATAGCAGCCCACCACTATACACGCGTCTCTTCCGTCTTCCATTTAGGTGATTAAGGATTACCAGCTGTTCATGGTGGTCGGTGTGTTATTGGTTATCGATTTGGGGATTATGACGACCTGGCAGGTTGCGGATCCATTTTATCGGGAGACGAAACAAATGGAACCCTATGTAAGCGCAATGATATCTATCCAATATATATAAGATATATATATATATATATATATATATATATATAAGATATATATAAGAGCCGGAAATACAACCGCATAAGGAAAAGAAACGGGCATGAGTTACGTGATCCTTTCTCGTTTTCAGCCCCATCCTTCCAGCGACGATATCATCATAATACCGGAGAACGAGTACTGTCAAAGTAATCGAATGACCATTTACTTAGGGTGTATATACGCGTACAAGGGTCTCTTGATGGTAGGTAAATGTTGACTGACATCACTAACACCCTTAAGGGCACACTGAATTTTAGGAAATTTCGAAAACGTCGAGACAAAGAGCAAAACGTTTCTTTTTTGTCTTATTTTTTAATTTGATTTATTCGGATAAGTGGGAAGAACGAAATGGATAATTTACACATTAAACGCGAATATTACCTGGCTGAATTTTACCACTGTTATGGAAATGTACGATTTGTTGTAGAAGTAATTTTTCGGAAAGTTGTCTACGAACAGTTTAATAATGAAAATAATAAAATAAAGAAAACAAGTGTTTCTTTCTGATACAGTTTTGTAAAAGTCGGTGAGTTTTTAAGAGGTTAATAAGCAGATGTAAAAAAGTACTCGTACACCGATGATTTTCAAGCAAACCTTGATGTAATTGTTGTCTATTAAATAATTTTTATGAAACAATGTATACGTGTTCTGTAGTCTATGTAATTATTCCCTCAGTATAAACAGTGCAAGAAATACTATTGTTCATTTCCAAGTGCTTTGTACAATTTTCTGTATCTATGATATATGTGATGGAAAAATAGAAAAGTCAAATAAATGAGAAAAATAATTGATCTCCGATATTGTAGATATTCGGTGCTTTTTTGGCGTGGGAAACCAGGCACGTTAGTATCCCAGCGTTAAACGACAGTAAATACGTGGGAATGAGCGTGTACAACGTGGTGATCATGTGCGTTACTGGAGCAGCCATAAGCTTCGTGCTAGCTGATAAACAGGATGCAATGTTCATTATGCTGGCGATATTCATAATATTCTGCAGCACCGCCACTCTGTGCTTGGTTTTCGTGCCGAAGGTATGAAAAACTCTTGTCTATCACTGTCTCACATTTTCATCTTTTTGTTTACTCGTCTAATAAATATTAATACAACGTTAATTAATGCGGTATTATCTGGTTTGTAATTCTTCTCAATCGGTCTGTAGATGAAGAGGTTTCTAACTTATTTCAAATGATATATATTTACAGCGGATTTCGCGACACTTCACTTCGTATAAGAAAATTAATCAAATATTCCGGTTATATTTAACCTGTCCCAAATGATATATGGGACTCAACAGATTTCACGACACCTTCATACAAGAAAATTAAACGAATATTCTGATTCATATCCACGATGATCTATAATAAAATTATTATCAACACATATATTTTCTTGATACATTAAGTGTGTCAAAAGGTAAAACAAATTTCCTGTCTCTGTATGTGACTTTCAATTATGTAACTTGAATTATCGATTGGAATATAAGCATTTGTAGCAAAGGAATAAAAGTTCAAGGCACAAGACAGAGTTAATAATATAATATAACAAAGAACACAAGCTTTTGTTAATATATTTTATTAAAAATCACTCTAGAATTAGTCATTTTGACCACTTTGGTAGTTCTAGAGTTAATTGACGAAATAAGACGAAAATTTGACAAATTTTCTACATGCCACCAATCTTTATATAATACATAATTATTTATATTATTCTATCACATCAATTAACATTTTAATGACGTTCAAACAATTTGTTCTCCGTGTTAGCTGATAGAATTGCGAAGGAATCCCCAAGGGGCGATAGATAAGCGAATCAGAGCCACGCTCAGGCCAATGTCGAAGACCCGAAGGGACTCGAGCATCAGCGAGTTAGAGGAACGGCTGAAAGAGGCCACGCTTGCGAATCAAAAGTTTCGCAAACAGCTATTGGAGAAGGATTCGGAGCTTCAGGTAAACGGAGCGGGGAACGAGTAGATCTAACACGGAGCACGTGTTACCATCGAATGAATCGCGACCGTATCGATTGCAGATGTTTCTAAGAAGGCTAGACGATCAGACTGCACCGTGCAACACGCAAGAGGAGATGGACAGGCTGACCGTTCCGCGGCAAGAGGGAATGATGAAGAAAGAAGGTAAGTGGGACGCCAGTCTTTCCATCGCCTCTTTTCCAACGTTCTGGCACGTAACGTGCTATCGGCGATATTGCTATGTGCTCTTATCTTACCGTAGGTCTGTCTGTTACGACAGAGACAACGGACATCTCGGTGTCGATGTGCAGCCTGAACTCCACGACCACGTCTCAGCCAGAGGGCGGGGATTACACGAGTTCAGCCGCGACCGAACAACAGACCGGCAAGTGCGTACATATTTTATTGCGATTAATATACTTTAACAAGTAATGATACGTGTGATAGTAGATATTCGTTCCACTTTGTTGCAATTCAACAAACTGCAATTTACGATTTACAATTTTGTGGAAATTTAATATCCGCATAGAGGGTACTATTCGCAATTTGATATTTAACTTGCGGTATGCGAGTATTTATACAAGTTAAGTCTACGCCTTGTAGAGATTGAATTTCTGCTTCAGACTTCTCCGTTAATATCAAGTCTGCGTTTTAAAGTCGTGGAAATTCATTTTGTAAAAATACTGAATTACAAGTTAAATTCCGACTTCGTTGAAATGAAACATAATAGTGGTTTAATAAGGCAATGAAAAAATGTAACGTTATGTTAAAATAAATAAATATACATATTAAAATATATTCAAAGTATATATAATTAAAATATATTGGTACTGGAAAAATTAAGATAAATATACATATCGATGAATTTCATAAAACACGTCGCGTAATTTTCTCTTTCAGGAAAAAGACGTCGTTCTCCAAGGTGCCAGCGATCGCGATCGACAGCGAACGAGTTCCACTGGTCCCCCAAAAGCAAGAGATCATAGTGAAAGGGACAATGGACAGCACATCCTCGGTTCCACCGTCGGTTTTGAAACACACGGACGACTCTGGCCGTAGGAGAAGTCGTTCGTCCGGACCTGGCAGAGAAACCGAGCCTCTTCTTACCGAGAGAAGTCCGGATTCGCGACCGGATACCGCCGGCAAAACGAACGTGGAATTCGTGCCGGAGATTGTCGAGGAAGGGGACGCTATTATTCTCGAGGAGACCGAGATACCCAGGCACGGGAAGTCGATCAGATGCAAAGACGATCGTAGGTCCAGGCTGCCGACACCTCCGCCGGCGAAGAATGTTTCGTTCGGCGAACTTCACGAGCAGAACTACCTCGAACAGGCGATTCTGCCTCCTCCGTTGCAATTCGTGCCGAAACACCGACACTCCGGTGAGAGGACGTCGTAATTTTTTTTATTACACGTAATAATTCAATTCAAATGTGCGTTGAAGAATGTTAATATGTCTGTTTCGCGTGAAATTATCATACGTCACTTCTGCATAAAACAGACCTCTTCTTTTTTTACTTTATTTGGAAATCAAACAGACAAAAAAGTTGATTTAATTTGAATATATTATTTTATTTCTAACACTTATCTTCTTATTTTCCACAGATTTGTATTTATTAATTGTTTCTTGATAAATGACAAAAACCACGGACTTACTCTGTGGCCCCAAGTGAAAGTTACTCTCGAAATTAACCGGTCGTTATAACACTAAAGATAACTAATTAGAGCTGCATTCCTTTCAAAGAACTTCATTCCAGTTCTACTAAATTTACCAATATCCTCACCACAAGTTCGTGTTACGTCACCTTTCGTTTCACTTTAGTTTCAGCGACGAACGCATCCGCGCATCATTCGCTGAAGAGGAGATCGTCGGTGAAGAACAACGGGATGGCTCATTCCCATCACGAGTTGTTTCAAACCCGGAGGACCAGCGTGCCGGCCAATTGTATCAGCTACATCTCGACCGAGAACGTCTCGAAATCCGAGGCGGCGGAGATCTCGTTGAACTCTGGCCTCGATAAATCTTACGTGATCGGCGAGTGTGGCCATCGTCGTGCGTTACTCTCCGGCACTGGTTATCGCTGCGAGAAACACGGCGGACGAGGACATTCTCGGGCGATGTTGAACGGCTCGGCGGAAACGCCGCCACCGCCACGAAGACACAGAAAACACTACGATTCCCAAAACGCGAGTTCTCCGAGCGTGCCCGCTATGGTCAACGCCAGTTACTCCGATACCGGTTAGTACTTTAACAATAAAGTAAACTAAACTATAAATGTATAATACATATATGAATTGTGCTACATACAGTGATAATGTATTTATAGTACACGTACATAAATGATCGCAAGTATTGATTCAGTCAACTCTCCACAGTGTAATAATTATACAGCTGTTTCAACAATGATCATTAAGAGGAAGGAAACTGTAACCTAATTTAATGAAATCGGTACAGTTGCAACTGATTTATTTGACCACACGTTTCTCGTTGTATGTCCGCAGAGAAGTACGAGGAATCGATGTCGACGATCATCCAGCGATCGGTGTCCGAGAGATCGCGAGAGAAGTGTCCGCGGTTACGGGGCGAGGGCCACGCGATGATCGAGTGTCCGCATCGCACACGCCGGATACGAGAGTGCAGACACACGGAGTCGAAGCTGCGGCAACAGGCACGGCTGGAGTACGTGCAGAGCACGCCGAACGTCGCCACCATTCACAACAACAAATTCGCGAGCGCGAATCCGCGAGGGGGTGGCGGTGCTGGCGGCGGTGCGACCGGAAGTGCGAATGGGCCGGGGACGGCCAGTTCGGTGACCGGTAGCAGTTCGGACGTTGTCGGTGGTTCGGCCGCGAACGTTTCGAAGATGTACAGCGCCGTGTCGGACGGCGAGCTGCTGGATCTGGCGATCCTGCCGATCTTTCAGAAGCTACTCACCGAGAGGCACAAGAGTTCCTCGAGGGCCGGCTACGGCGCGAGTGTAGCCAGCTGTCCGAATATATCTATCAAATGCGACATCGTTGAATACCTTTAACGATCTTCCAACGACTAGTTTCGATTTTCGCCTGAAATCGATCGATCTCCTTCTCTGTCACTTTTCTCCCTTTTCTCTCTCTCTCTCTCTCTCTCTCTTTCTTTCTCTCTTCTTTACGGCCTTAAAACGCGCGACCGAGTTCGCGAGACGCGTTCGCCGACGGCCAAAACTACGACCAGAGTTGGGCGATCTCTCTTCATCGGTATAGGAAATTTCGGCGAAATTTTTATTTAAATAACTGATCATTTGAGTGACGTGATTGATTTGTTTCTTATCATTTGTTTCTTATTCTGGATTTTCAAATGTATTGTTCAGCTTTCATTTGCATTAGGTAAAAAACGATGATAGTAAATAGTTTTCGAGTTTTATTCGTATTCTTGTATAATGAATGAACTGCGCAAACACTACCCTTATCTTTTGTAAATTCGGGAACACTCTACCTTCGTCTTTGCTTTTTTAATGTAAAGGGTGTATTCTATTTTTAATGTGTCGCCACTCTAGTCTTACATAAATGATGAATAAACATTGAATAGCAATTAAAATTACGTTTGTACATTCACAACTAATTAATTCATTGATCGTATTTAAATAAACGAGCAATTATTCGCTTTAAACGAACGAAAGTAACAAACAATTCATTTCTGCTTCGTTTGAACTCTCGAATAAGAAACAAGTTTATATATTCAAGCAAGTTATTTAAATAAAGATTTGCTCGTATAGTGCCCAACACTGACTACGACACCCTTTCGCGAGCAGTCGTCGTTCCTTTCTCGAGCCTGCCTACCTTTGTGCGATACTCGACTTTTAAGCGGGCAGCAACGAGTTGCTAATACACGTATGTAAACGTATGCACACCAAGTACGCTCAGATCGTGCTCATAAATCACCGGACGCTTCACATGTTTAACATAGAGAAATATATTGTAAAATGAAGTTGTAAATGAAGTTGACGCTTAACTAACTGTTTTTATTGTAAGAAGATTATACTGTGTTTCAAAGATCTTATTGTAAGATATTTTAATAAACGTTACGTTTCAAATTGGCGGCCGGTGACTTATGAACGTGGAGCGTAGACAAAAGTGAAAGTTACACGTTTGTTATTGCGGATAAGAAAAGAAGACGATATCGATTCAAACGAGAGGATGCCGGCCTCTGTTTTCGACGCTCGAGAATCTTTTAGCCTTTCGGTTCAACCGAATCGAACGAATCGCTCGCGGTATTCTACATGTTTCTACGAAGCTCTATATGGAGTTCTACAACGTTTGCACTGTTCGCGGTCTCTCCTCCAAACTTTTGGCCATTTTCGTTTCACCAGAGTTGGGCAAAAATGATTGAGGATCATGATTGACGTGAGATCAGGCTACTAATCACGATTACTTTACTTCACGGTTATTAAATAATCATTAATTCATGAATGTAATGAGCAATCTCAGTCACTGTAGGTCATCATTAACTGAATCATTCATTATAAAATGAGTGCCTGATTGCACTTATGATTCAATTTCATACTTTATTTGTAGAATTTTTTTTTTTTAATGTTCTAAAATGGTTTCGTTTACGACCAAGAAACTTTTATAAGTCAGTAGATAACAAATTACCTATCTTTGTACGTTATCAGGTACAATTTGATTATTTGTGAATTTTTACTTTGTCAAATAATGCCATGCTGCTCACGAAAGTATTCGTACACTTATGAAAATTTTTGATAAATATATGACGTTATGTAATACACTTTGAAATTTCATTAACACCGCGATAAAACAGGACTACCGTGATTGATATGCATATTTCGCAGACACCACAAAATTACTTAAAAACCAATCTATTACATCGACGGATCTCAAGTATTCATTTGGATCATATAATATTATATTATATGAAAGTATTTTAGAACGTAAAAAAAATCACGCATTCAATTAATTAAAAGATTGACGCGATATGAAAAATTTTATAAACTCATAGTGCATTCTTTAACACAATTAACAATTACAAATTATTCGATTAATTGATCAACGATTACAGTGATTATGATTATATTTATTAATCGAGTAGAAGCTATTAGAAAAGAAATAAATCGCAGAAGCTGCTGCAATAAAGAGACAACATTACTTTCGGTTTAATTTTAATAAATCAACAAAAACGAAGTGAAAAATCAAGTACTGTTCTAAAACATGCTATACATTTATTGTAATCTAGTGCAAAACCATCATACTTATTACTTGAAACTAATTCCTTTTTACGTTAGGTGAAAGACCTTTTTTTTCTTTTTTTAATAAAGTAAAATATGTAAAAAAGAACTGTATAGTGTAAGTGGAGCTGCCTGTTTGTTGCTGCAAAAACTCTTCAATTACTGCCTAACTCTGGTTTTCCCCGTCTCGATTCTCGTCTCGACGACGAAAAGTCGTACAGAAAAAAAACGATACAAGCACATCGTATTCGCGTGATGAAACTGTGTGGGATGTAAATGCATCGCAGCGACCTATCGTTCCGAAACGCGGAGTCCTGTTTTTTATATTAACGAATTACAATGAAAACAGTTTGTCATACGAAAATAAGAAACAAAAAGAAAAAAAAAAA